TCCCCTCGGAGGCACGTGATCCCCAAAGCAACAGGTACTTCCCCCCGTACCTGAGCCAGGTGAGGCGCCCCCTCCCGCTCGTCTGGCTGCTCTGCGAATCAGAAGAAAGCAGCGCGGCCCGGCGGGAAGGTCCCCCGAGTTCATTCTTCCTGGCTTCTTCCAGAGCGCGCGCGCCTTTCCCCGCTGGTGCCTGCCTGAATTCCGTGTTTTGCTTTGTCGCCCATGCGACGCGGTCGGCTTCCGCAGAGCATTGTTAAGCACATTACTTTAAGAACGGTGAGCAAAACGATAGAGGTGTGCCCCGAGGAGACCGCAATCTCGGTGCCAGCCGGGAGTATCACATTAAAAGGAACACAGTCGTCACCTGGTTTCTCTTTTCCCTGCTTCTGTCCTAGGCGCGCATTCCTAAGAGTGAATGTCACTGAACGAAGGAAAAAAAAAACGGAGTAAACATGCATAGGATTAGCTATTTTAACAGGGTCTAACCGCAAGATCCCATTCTGATTTCAGCCTACAGAACAGAATCACATGGACAAGTCAAGGTTACAGGTTGTCTTTCCAAATTAAAAAACAAAACAAAACTTTTAATCTGACGCTGAGCACAGCAGAGGGCAGCACCCAATCTCGCTCTGATTAGTATTTTAAGGGGAAACCATCAAGTCATGCCAGTACTGTAGGCTAGGGCTGAATAAGCAAAAGTCCCAGAATGCAATGGCACTTGCCTAACCACTTCTCTATTGTTGCCAAGAAGGCTACTGTACATGTAGAGAGTCAGGGTTGACTTGGAGGACACCTTTATAACCTGCCACTTACTAATGTTGCTCACCTATGGAATTTCCCCCCCTTGTGGAAGCATTCTGCATCTGCACTGAACAAAGGGAAGCATTAATCTGATATACCATAGAATTGTGTGTGTGTGTGTGTGTGTGTGTGCGCGCACACGCATGCACGCGCCTTTGAGTCATTCTTGACTCCCGGCGACTGCCTGGACAAGTCCCTGCAGTTTTGTTGTCAAGGTTTTGGGAAGTGGTTCGCCCTTGCCTTCTTCCCAAGTCTGAGGGAGAGTGATTGGCCCAGAGTCACCCAGCTGGCTCTGTGCCTAAGACGGGACTAGAACTCATGATCTTCAGATATCTAGCCTGATGCCTTAACCACTACATCAAACTGGCTCCCTCAGAGAATCTTGGGGCACTTTAATCAATAATATTTAGCATAAAACTGTGTTGTCCACTTCATAGATGCATGGTGGATCTCTGAGTATACATGAATTAGGTATGTAGGTACTCATGTAATATATATTCAGATACATCTGTATACTACCCAGAGAGTTAATGGATGGTTTAAAAGTACAAGGTACTGTAATAAGTAAATAAAATATTTCAGTCCAGAAAAGGGAATTGTAATAGTGACTTTGGGCCAGTCACTATCTCTTAGCCTGACCCACCTCACAGGGTTGTTGTTGTGGGGAAAATAGGAGGCAGGAGAATTAGTTATGTTCGCCGCCTTGAGACAGATAGATAGATAGATAGATAGATAGATAGATAGATAGATAGGATACACAAAAGAAAACAAAAGTTTAAGAAATGTAGGAGATGGTACGAGCATCACACAGGTTTGTGGAGGACAAATGTACGTGGAATTTAGAGTCCAACTGGGATGGGTAGGTGTGATGCCACACATGAGAAGTAATCTCCAGAGAAAGAAGAAGTGCTTCCTGTAAGGACAAGTAGCTACTCCCAGGAATTGTTGAGGCCAAATTCCACACCATCAGACATGCTCAAACATGATAACATAGTGGCTATAAACTAGAGTAAATGACTGTGCTGTCAGACATTAGAAAACTACCAGACTGTGCTAGTAAACGTTAGAAAACTAGATCATTCTGTTAAATTTTATAGAATTTGGAGCATATGGTGAGTCTCAAGGAACCTTCCTTAACTTGTTTTCAGCCTCAACTCCCTCTATTCCCCTTGGATAATTATGGGAATTGCTAGTCGGCACCCCTGAAAGACACCAGGGTTGAGGAAGTTCACTTTAAAACCTGCTGCTTAAACATATTCAAAACTTGAAACACTTCCTCCCCACCATCCCTAGCTTCTGCGTTCTGCATCTTCCTTTGGGATGCAGAGGCCCACTTGTTCGACGGTGGAAATGACAGAAGGATCTTGGTGAATGAACTCTTGATATTACTTGGCCCCATCAGGGTGCTGTGGCCTGAGGAGATATGAGGGCAGAGCTTATGCCGGGAATAAATAACCACTCTGTAAAGCAATCTGGGCTATAGGATGGCCACCCTTTCCCTGAACTGCATTCTCTAACCTCAACATGCAGCCACATAGGAATTCCTGAAAGCTTCTTATACCCAAAGGCCTGGCCCAGCGTGTAAGGATAGGCTGGAGTCAATTGAGAAAAAGGAAAATTGCCTTCAGTTTAAGCAGTTCAATCATTTACAATACAGTATCCATTTTATGGCATGCATGCCTATGGATCTTGGGATTTGGGATACACCCAAATAGGAGAAGGCAATTATACTACCTAGAGCTACGATATGACATTACGGTGCATGCAGCAGAAAATCCAAATGATTCTCCCTCCTCTTATTCTATTAAACTAGGGTACAATCCATTGGGATTCTCTCTTCTGAAATAAGTAGGATCTATTTAAAAATAAAACAGTGATGACAAAGACATGAAAAGGAAAGTTGCATCTTTTACAGCTTGGAATGAAAGGAATGAATGCGTAGGTTCACACATATTCAACTAAAACCAACCAAATTACATTATGATTTAGTGTGATATGAAGTTAAGATGCCTGCGCAGTCATCAATCGGTTGACTTTATTTAATAATTCATTTAATAATGAGGTAAGATAGTATTAGAGATAAAATTTAAGAAGGGTCTTATGATCAGAGGTGATAATCAGAAAGTTATTTCCACTCACTTGCCCAAATAAACTTGGCTTGTGGTTATTTACAGGCTAAAGTTGGGCTGTCATTAAATCATCCATTGACGCCTTACAGATGAGCCAAAGACTGTGATGTTCTTTTTTCAAGTAATAGAAGTCAGAGCTCTCATAGCCCACTGCTACAATCATTTCAAAACTCTGCACCTTATTAATTGCACATTGTTTTATTAGGATTCACAGGCAAAACTGCAAATCTATACATTCTGTAATTTAATCTGAAGCCTTACTTTTCTCTCTTGGCACCCAAAATAAAAAATCGCCCAAAGCTGGCTTTTCATTTTGGAATGGGCACTGGCTAGAATTTATTATTCATAGAGAAATGCTCTTGCCCTTAATTTAAAAATCTGTTCCTTTTGCTTCTACATTAATTCACACCAGAACTGATGGGGTCCACTTTTCAGCAGTACATGTGACCAGAGCTTGCATTAGGCTAGTACCGAAATTAAAGTGCAGTAGGTGGAATTATGCCTATGATGACTCTCCTCCTTTAGTACATCACACTCAGAAAAGGTAATTTGTGTTCCCAGTACTACTTTCATCAAGTTTGTAGGAGGGGAGTGTGGGATAGAGCAAACTGTATGACAGTGTTATGCTAAGATAGTATAATAAAAAAATGAGTAATAGGTTTCATTAGAGGTTGGCATTCCCCTTTTAAAAATGCTTCCTCAAATTCTAGAGATTAAGAGGTCTACAGTTTGGTACCTACTATAAAGATTTGCTTTTCTAGGCCCTGGGGATATAGTTTAATCCTGCTGGAAATGCATGGATTGCATGAATAGTATGGGAGATGGGTAAGCTGTGCTGTTTCTCATTTTCAGTCTGTGAAATAATATTAAAGGAAATTTAAACAGATTTGCAATCATTAATTCCAAAGCTGCACATCAAGCTACAGGTAAAGTGTTGTTGCATGATTAAACCTGTAATGTATTATTTGAGGAGACAAGATGCCCCCAAGGGAAGGGAAGCCATTTGCATATGTTTCAAATCTGATTTAAGATCTGATACAAATTATGCACTGGATCAGGAGAAAGAGCCCCGGGAAGCACTGAGTTGGATTGTCATGGATCCCTACTGTGTGTTCTCATCTGGAAACACAGCAAAATTTAGTTTTTTAATCCTAAACCCAATTTACTGAAACTAAATGTGGTCCTTAACCTGGCTAGGAGCTGTCTCTAGGACTGCAAAGGTAGGAGCTGGTCATCCACGGAGCAAGCCCTTACATTCTAATCTTTTTCCTACCTGGCTGACTCTCTCCAAATGCGTTGGGACTAATTACCAAAATTCCCAGCCCACGTAGTCATTGACCATGCTGACCTGGACTTCTGGGAGTTGCAGTCTTCTGGAGGGTACAGATTATGAAAGGCCGCTCTAAGATCTAGGAAGTCTCTTCTCCTACAGGGATATCCTCATGAAACTGGGCTGTGGGGCAAAACAACATATGAGGAGCTATTTGCATATGAAAAAAGTCAGGCAGTGGCTAATTGTTAGTCTTTAGGGTGCCTGAGCTCTGCTGAGTTCATAGCAAGAAGTTATTATGGAAACTTTTTTGGAATTGGACCTAAGGTTGCATTCCGATGTACACTGAACTTACTCATCAGATTGGGCTGTAAACAGATTGACTGCAAGTTGAGATCAAAATGAGAAGGCATAAAATTCATTTCAAAGTGAAAACGAAGTAGAAGCTCAACTGGGTGGCTGGAAATTTCTGCATCTCTATCCAAGTGGAAAGAGAATAGAAAGTTGAACAGAATGTCTAATTTTCCATTTAAGAGAGAGCACCTCCGCAGGGGACATCTGCACTGTTCTCAGATTGGCTACAGGTCATCTCCATAGGGTAGCTAAGCCAATTAGTTCCAGTTCAGCTCTGGGTCTGCAGGAAACGTGCTCAGTAGGT